GAATTGTGTTAGGACAGACTCTAATACTTATTTATGAAAAAGAACTTTATCTACAATAAATAAATAAATAAATAAATAAATATAATAAAATCATTACAGAGTTTCGTCTTCAGTTTCCTAGCCTATTACAAAAGGGATAAAGAATATAATAAAGAAAAAGACAAGTAGGGTATAGAGTTAACCATAAAAACAAAACAAGTGGGACATAGTGTGAACTGTGAACCCTCATACCTCAAGATCATAACCAATAGATAGGGGTGACAGTGACATGATGGGATTCATAACTCTAAATTAAGTGTATTAAGTAAGAAGTCATATCATACACAATATAAAAAAAGTAATGAATTTTAGTGGTATTCGCATTTAATAAGATTAAAATTTGAAAGAATAATGGATTTAAATTAAAATCACAAATTGATGAAAAAACAAAATTGAATGTTATTGAAATGCGTATATGTAAAAACTATTTGGAGCATATCAAACTTAAATTTAAAAAAAAAAAAAAATTTAAAGAACAAACCGTATGCATAAATTTAAATTTTATTAATATGATATATTATATTAACCTATCAACTATTAATTTTAATATTTCTTTAATAAAACATAATAGTTTACTTTAATATATTTTGCTATGAGATTAATAATTAGAAGAGTGCTACGTACAAACATAAAAAAATTTCAATAAGAGTTAAGAGAGTTTAAAATAGAGTATTTTTAATTTTTTTTTCTAATAAGTTAGTAAATAGGTTGTGGAAATATTTTATGTGATAATCCATGCTTTTAATATCAATGTCAAATCTGAATTGTATAATCAATGATGATACAAATCGAGAAATTTGGTCTCCGTTTTTACTATCAATTATCCTTTTCTCGTGTATGAAGTTAGTCCTTTTTCAACTACATGTACCTTTAATATAACCCCACTACAATAGTAGGAAAATATGTTAAGTACATGTTTCTTCATTCCTATAAAACAAAAATTATCCAAAGCTATTGGCAACAAATATTAAAATTAGCTATTGGCAACAAAAAGTTAAATTTTATTATTGCTAGTTCAGCCATAACAAATATAGGCATTTTATATTGAAGTTTATTAAAAGTCTGATAATAATATCGGAATATGACACCAACACATATAATACTGTTCAATCATTTTACTTTTAAAAATTATTGATTTCATTATATCAATATCATATATGGTAAAATAACAATAGATAATAACCACAACAACAAAAAAAATCACAATAAAAAAAAATACCAACAACAATAGGAAAAAAAAAACTAGAACCCCACCACTAGAAGGACCTCATCTCAAGATATCAAGAACTCTCTACCACAAGAACAATGTCAAAGACTTTTAAAAAGTTTCAAACGTTTTTTATAAACAAATTGGATTAATAAACGACGACACAGTGAGTTCACAACCCTTGCAACAAAATCACAATACAAACCAACGAAAAAATCGAAAAAACCAAAATAGTTAAAAAATAAAAAGAAAATAAAAAGAAAAATAGCCACCCCACTAACTCGCATCTCCCAAAAACGGGGACATAGACCAATCCGCTCAAGATTGCGAACAAACCGCAACTTTACCAATGTTGAGCCAATCTCACGTCAACCTCTTAATCATCCCCAAACCGTCAAACTTGACTAAAGATCCTTCGTCGAAAATAATTGAATTCCTACAAAATCAAATCGTCCATCAAATAGCTACACGAAACAACCACTCAAACTTCACCTTAAACTTCAAATTAATCGTAACCTCGAGCTCCTGTATCCTATTGATGGGACTCATCAAATCCAAATTAAGATCAATATGCAACAAATCTAGAGCTTTAATCCACCAAACCTTCAAATCTTAATTCGAATTTGACACGAACTTTTTTTTAAGCTCAAACTCTACTCGTTATAAGTTCACGAACAGATCAGTTCAACTCGTTAGATTCAGCTCACTTGCTTCACAAATTTAAGAGTCATTTTATATATATATATATATATATATATATATATATATATATATATATATATATATATATATATATATATATATATATATATATATATATATATATATATATATATATATATATATATCTCAAAAATCTACCAATTCAAAAACTACACAACTTTTAAAAAATATATTTGAAAGTCTAATTCAAAAACTACTTTGTCTTGAAAATCCACAACTTCATCTAAATATTCAAAAACCTTACAAATTTAATGAAATAGTACACCAAAAATTACTAGAAATGGATACATTTTCATCTCATAATGATTATATCACTTGTAACCTTTATTACACATGTTATTTTAGCAAATGTCAATATGCCTCCAACAAATATAATTGTTAACTTTTCTGTCATAACTAGTACGAAAGTGACAACAAAGGGTTAAGATTTATAGTAAATCTTCAAATCTACTCTTAAATACAATATAATCTTATATAATTGAATTGACTTATGAACCTAATGAGTTAAGCTATATATAATTCAAGTTCAGTTCATTTAATTAACGAACTTAGTTTTTTATTCATATTCATCTCATTTGATTCATGAACCTAATTCAATGATTTAATTATCAAATCAAATTTTGATTTTGAATTTGTTTGATTCATTGTTAGTCCTACGTAAAAAAACAAGAGTACTTTTTTGATTTGAAAATAATATCTTAGTAGATCTATATCAAACTTACGTGCTTTCTCAAAATGACTTGAAAACCCTATCATGCATCCGAGCAAATCCGAGCAAATAATAGCTTAAGTGTCTTCAACCTCCTCTTGAGGTGATCTTGTTATTTTTGGTGGTGATTGGTTATAGTTTTTTTTTTTTTAAGATAGGGAGATCTAACCCATGTTTCTTTTGTGGTTTAGTTATTGACAACTATGGTTGGTGATTGTTTTTATACGTTTTCTTTCGATTTTTTTTTCTAATTATTAATATCTCGTGCTTTTACTAAAGAAAGTGGATTCTAAATTTGATATAATCAATTAAATTTTTTTAAAAATTAACACAAAAATAAAATAAGTGTAGTAAAGATGTGGATGTGTAGTTAAACTCGACAGAATAAAATTAAAAATAAAAGTATTAACGAGTGTTGAAATAACATCTATAATAGAGAAGATAATGAAAAATAAGACAGATAGATTATATAGTAAAGACGGTAGATCAAATAGAAAGAAGACAAACAATTAGATGAATGGAAAAATCTATAAAAACTTATTAAAAAGATCTTGAAATTAATTATTTAGATAAAAGCACGTTCTTGATAGAATATTAGCAAAATTAATCCATATAAGTTGTTATTATTGTTAAAAGACTTATATCTAAGAAATCAATTTTTTTCATATCATTAAAAAAATACAAAAAATTTAACGTACAATGATTAAAATATAATTAGTACAACATATTTACTAAGATGAAATTATTAATATAGTGTGAAATTAAAATCAATACTAAAACCACTCAAGAAAAGGGTTTGCTTCGGTGTTGGTCCAAACATAAAAAATAAAATAATAAATAAACTACTAATTTTAAATTGATTTAGAATCAGAACTCTAATCCTGAATGTACAATTTGACAGACAATAAAATGACTTTATAACCGAAAATAACTGATTTCATTCTTTCTAAGGGTAACTTTGTTGAATACAAGATAGATGTTTTATGGTCAGTTTATTATGTAATAATTGATAATTGTCTTATTATATAATAAACAAACAAACAAACAAAAAATCAGTTTCGGTTATAAGAAGTGACAGCTTCAAAATCAAGTATTAATATCAAATGGTTTTGTCTTGCATGTGCCTAGACATTTCATATGCTCATGTTATCAATAAATGCATAGAAAGGAAAATCACGTTTGAGTCAAAGAAAAAAGAAAGAAAATCACGTTTCAACAACCACCATAGCTGGAAATGGAATACAGCTCCATTAAAACAGTTGTACTTGCTCACATCAAATGGCTGCTTAATTAATGGCTGCTTATATAACTAACAAACACATTGTTATTGTTTGATTCTATGGTGAAAAAAAATTGATTAAGAGTGAATTGATTTTGGTTATAAACGATTTGAAGGTAAAGTAATCTATATATGAATAAATTTCTGTAAAAGTGAATTGAACAGTTAAACATCACTAAACTCAAAAGTTACAAAATATATCTTCAAGTACGAAGAATTCTAAAAGCAGAATTCGAAAGCAGCCAAAGATATCAAAATCAATTATACACATTTAGAATACTTCAGCCGTGAAACCAGACATAAAGTTAAGATATAGACTATTCAAGTTTGAAAATTACCTTTAGCCCCCCAACATGGTATTGGAGAAGAGTTGATAACATGTCTTTCTTATGGGATGAGTTTTGATTCCTGGAGTCATCCATCCATCATTTAGATCGCAGCTCAATCTCCTATATAAGAAAGAATCAACAGTCTCATTGTCGAGGGACCATCTACATCGCGACTGTCTCATTGTCGTCTCGATGATTAGCTTCATAGCAGACTCAGTATATAAACCACAGGATTACCTTGAGACGCCTACTAAAAACCCTAATGAACATAGGTTAGAAAGGAAAAATACAGGTAACTACATTCACAGCTAGTGTTTTAAGCACCAAGAAAATGAAAAAACCATGTATTCTCAGAAACCACAAATAAAACTTGATCAAATTTGCCCCTACAGCATATTTTAAATTGTAACTGCAATCACAAGTTACAAAACTGATCACAATCATTCTCAATCATGATTACAATTACATTATGATTCATGATACAATCTCACTAGAACACAACACAGTTGCAGAGTTCTCAAAATGCAAAAATCATATGTAACAAATAAAATTACTGTAAAGGGCTGATTTTCATTTTCACTTGCAATTGTTACAAGTAAACAAACTCATTATAAAAAAGAACAAATTTCTCTATTGGATTGTAAACGTAAAACAAGAATGCTACATAAAAGTGTAAAGAATTTTCACCATTTCACCTATGAGATAAATCTATCACTAAAACCATTGATGAACAAGAACACCACTTTGTCTCAGAGAATTGAATAGCTGCAAACATTGATCATATGTTTTCTCATACTTCGGACTTCTTTGTCCCGGACAACATCTCTGCCATCTATTGTAATGACACTCCAGAAAAATTTCATCAATCAAACAAATAGCTCCGGTTTCAAACAATCTAGGAATCAAATCAAATTCCGTACCTTCAATGTCCATCTTCATCACAACGAAATCGTTCATTGTAACTGTTTTCTTCAACCATTCAGCAAAATCAAACCCTTGTGTCGTCTGAACACCACCACCCGCGCCACCTTGTGATTCCAATGGTTGAATCCTTCCCATTCCTCTCCCTGCTTTTTCTTTCTTTTTATCACCCGGGTCGTTGTTGATTTCAAAAACCAAACTCTCATTCCTAACCCATGCAGCATAAGGTAACAGAGTTATCCCTTTCTTCACCGCATACTCTTGATGAAAAGTTTTATCGGCTTCGATCGCGTAAACATGAAAGGTTTTATTCTGTTTCGGATACTGTTTCTTAAACCAGCTTCCGATACTCGAACCATAGCTTCTAGCTCCAACATCAACATACACGTACCTATTCTTAAAGCTTATATCAACCATTGATGGTGCATACTTTATGTTCTTCACATTCTTCTTTAGGGTTATCCATGGCTTCAAGGGTTCTTCCTCAATCAATTCCTCAGCATTCTTAACCAATTCTCTTTTATAATCTGCAACAGAACACTTCTGATTCCTATTCAAATCAAATTCAGAATCAGAATCAGTTTTTCTATAACTGATTTTCTTCATGAAGATTTCTCTTATCATCGGCATCGACGTATCGAAACCATGAATGTCATGGAATTTCACCACTTCGCAACAAAATCTAAACAAATCAACAAATGAATTGTAACTGTATGAGTCTTTAGCATTTACATGGAACACTGCAAACCCTTCGGGTTTCAGGGTCCTCGCGATCTCGGACGCAAACTCGGACGCCTTTGTCGATTTCTCCAAGCCTCCCTCACTGGAGAACACAAAGTCAAACGTGTTATTAGCAAACGGAATCCGGTGACCTTCACCGGATTTCACCAACGACTTCACCGCCTTCTTCGAGATTCCAACAACGTCAACACCTATCTCCTTCAACGCGTATACATCCCTTCCGGTTGGTGTATCGACGCAGAGAGACTTCGCCTTACGCGAAAGATCACCGGTGGCAATCATATTCTGGAAAATCGACGAGTAAAACCGAACGCCGGTGATCCATTCTTTGCTTGCTTGATGCTCCGGCGTGGATAATTCGGCAGAGGATCGGACGGAGAGAGCGCCAGAACCAGATCCGGCGACGGCGGCATTAATTTTCCCCGGCGATGAAAAGAAACAGAAATCTCCGATGTTACAGTTTTCGCCGGCGATAGTGATGACGTAAGCAAACCGAAAAATAACAACGAAAACGCCAAAGAGAAGTAACCGAACCAGAACGTTCCGAAGGGAGCCATGCTTGCCTACGGTAGGTTCCATTGAAACAGTTGTGCACTTTTTTCCAGAAAAAAATAATTAATAATCAGATAAATTCTATAAAAAATGAATAAAATCGAGGGGAAAAAAGAGAGAAAATGGTTTTTGAGATTCTAGCGAGAGCAGAATCTGGCGGAGGTGTGGTTTGCGCCGATGAGAGAAGGTTTTGTATTGACGGAAGTGATAGAGAAACGGTGAGGGGCAAAATGGGAAATCATGGTTTTGAGTTTTTTTATGGAGAAACGGAGAAGAACGAGTCCATGAATCGGAGGGTGACTCGGTTATGGTGAGTCTGTGGATTTTTAATGCAACGGGAACGCGGTGAGAGGTGACCGGTTACCGGACTGGGCGGTGGATATTGTGGATTATACGCGGAATGAAATTAAAATTATGCCGTTTACGTTTTATGGATTTATTGCCAAATATAATTATACATTTTGTGGAAGGTTGAAGTGTTTGTCAGTTTGCGAAATGGATAGACACGTCTCTGTCGTATAAATAAATGAGTTTAAAGTAAAGATAAAAATGAATTGGTTAGTTGGTCAAGTCACGTTATTCTTTCATTTTTGTCAAAAATAAAAGTCACATTATTCTTTCTTATCAAGAAAATAGTAATCACAAATTTATGATTGGATAGAATTGCTTAGAGTTTAAGGAAATCAATAATTTTATTAAGGTGTGAAAATCGGTATTTTTATTAAGATATATTTTATTCTAGGCAGGTCACGAAAAATTCAATCATGTAATAAGACATTGAAAGTACTGTGAAACTTTGTTCTTGAGTCTCATTTTAAATGTTATTGGATGGAATCCTGTATTCTATATTGAAAAGTAAAGGAAATTTATAACCACCTCTCATATATAAAGTATCTCATGTGAAATCTGAGGTATTCTCTTAACCATAACTTATACTATTTTTCATTTTCTTATAGACTCGAAGATTGGAGTTTTAACTTCGCAGGTCCATCCCCACTATTATATTACTTCAAAATTTTACTCCATCATTTTACCAAGTATTTCTAAATCCCTAGTGGAACAGTAGTGTCGTATATGAGAATCGACTTCTGATTTCTCCTATGAATTTCCATGGATAAATTCCTTTTGATTCAAAGTCACGAGTTACAACAAGAATTGCTCTTGAATGAAAAAGACGACTTCTGATCCAGGCGTAAAAAACATCATAGCTTCTCCAACATCTAGATTGGTTACTACCTTCGTCGTTAACTTAGTTAGTATTGTTGGAGTTGACAGTGAAACTCCATTGATGCACACAAAAAAAAAGATGATGAATAGTGAAAGAATTGTAGAGAGAGGGGAAAAATAATGTAACTAACTGTAACATAATTTTTTAATCTCAACAAACACAATTTCTTATTTTTTAGTTGTAACTAACTTTAAGTGTAATTCTTTAACCCAAACTCAAATGCAAATCAAATGAAATTGAAACTAAACAACTTGAATTTGAATTACATTTAACATCATCCCTTAATTCATATTTAAGATTAAAAATAAACAACATCAATTTCATCTCTCAAGTTGATGAAGTGTTTAGTTTTGTTTGCCTTAGTCAACACATCTACAAGTTGCTTCTAAGTGTTATAGTGAACAATCTCAAGCACTTCATTCTGAACTTGTTTGCGCAGAAAATGAAACTTTGTGTCAATGTGCTTGCTTCTTCCATGCAGCACTGGATTCTTGGTAAGACTTATGAATTATTTGTTGTCAATCATTAACCTTAGTGGTTTGCTCACCTTAAAATTCAGTTCTTACAGAAAATTCATAAGCCAAACAGCATGGCACAGAGACAAAGCACGTGTTATATATTTTACTTCACAAGTTGACAGTGCAACCACTCGTTGCTTCTTGGAACAACATGAAATGGGAGCTGTTAGATACATGAACATATACCTTGTAGTACTCCTTTTGTCCATTATGTCATCAACTCAGCCGGAGTCTGAATAGCATTTCAACTTAGCATCATCTGACAATCTAGATGGAAACATAATTCCATGCCTTAGAGTTCCCTTTACATACCTGAGTATCTTGATTATAGCTTCATAATGTGACCACTTTGGCTTTATCATAAACCTGTTTACTAATCCAATTGCATAACATATATACCAATTATTTGAAAGTTGTAGCATATACTTCCTCACCATCAGCATCAGAATCCAGTTTATGGTTTGTCTCTGCAGGTATGACTGCAGACTTACAATTCATAAGCTAAAATATCTTCAGCAACTCAAGCTCATACTTCAATTGGTGCATAATGATTACCTTATCATTGTGTGAAATCTCCACCCCTAGAAAATATATCATGTTTCCAAGGTCATTCATATCAAATGCTTTCATCAGCACCCTTTTGAACTTATTTATCTCAGAATTATATTTCCTTATCAGTAGTATGTCATATACATAAAGACACACCAAAATCAAATTGCCATTTGAGGTATGCTGCACATACACAGCGTAATCCATTTCACATTTTTTGAATCCCTGATGCTTGTAAAATAAATCAATTTCCAGATATCAAGCTCTTCGAGCTTGTTTAAGCTCGTACAAGGCTTTATGCAGCTTGTACACCATCCATTATTTATTCTCTATCACAAATATATGAGGTTGTAACAGATAAACGTATTCTCGCAAGGGACCATTTAGAAAACTAATTTTACATCTAAATATATTAGAGGTTAATTCATATTTGCAACTATAGAAATAACCAATCTTATGGTTTCATGTCTAGCTACAGGTGGAAACACTTCAAAATAGTCTAAATCTGACTTTTGTATGAATCATCTAGCTAATAACCTTGCTTTATGCTTGGCGGTGAACCATCTGGCTTCAACTTTATCTTAAATACTCATCATATACTGATGGGTTTCTTGTTCTTATGTAGAACAGTCAATCCCACGTATTGGTTCTTTCAATTTCCTCAAGTTCTTCCTTCATAACCTTCATCCACACTTTCTTTTTAAGTGTGTCATTGACACTAACAGGTTCAGAGTCCACCATCATGGCACATTATATGACTTCCCTTTCGCTGTCAATCACACAATCATTCAGCAATTCAAATTTTGCAAGTATCCTTGCTATCTATCTAATTCTATGTGGCCTCTAAGACTGTGCAAGTTCACATTCAGAGGCAGGTCGACCATCAAAGGAAGAGCCATCATTAGAAGGTTCATCTTTAGAGGTTGGATTACCTTCAGATCTTGGATTACCTTTAGAGGTAGGATCAACTTCAGATTTAGACTCACCTTTAGAGTCAGAGTCACCTTCAGAGTCAAACTCACCTTCAGAGCCATAATCTCCTTCAGAGTTAGACTCATATGTACATTGGAAACATATAAGCAATATGACTTGGCTTCTGTCATCCAATTTCCTTCTAGGAACGTTTGGTATAGGTTTGTAACATACATAACCAAACACTTTGAAATGGCTCACACTTTGTTTTCATCAAATCCACTTCTCTAGAGGAACTACTTCCTCTAACTTCTTTGTTAGACATCTGTTGAACACGTATGCTGATGTGGAAATTACTTCACCCTACAATGTGTGAGGTAGATTCTTTGCTTTCATCATGCTCCTTGTCATGTCAAGTAGAGTTATGTTTCTTCTTTCACCAATACCATTGTGTTATAAAATGTATGGAGCAGTTACCTCATGCACAATTTTGTACTCCTAATAGAACTTTTTAAACTCTGTTGAATTGAACTCACCTCCACCATCGATTATGAGGATCTTTAACATTTTTTCACTTTGAACTTCTTGAACTCACCAAACACCTCATTTTTGAACTTTATGAGTGCTACTCATGTCATTCTTGTGAACTCATATACAAATGACACAAAGTACTTATTTCCTCTAAATTAAGGTACGTCAAATGGCCCACATACATCAGAATGCACCACACCCAAAGCATGAGTTGCTCTTTAGTCACTTCTAATGAGAATTGAAATCTTAGTTGCTTGCCTCTCATGCATATATCACACAATTTCTATGGTGCCACAATCTTTGAAATTTCATGTACTAGATTCTTTGAACTCAGATGCCCTAAACTTTTGAAGTTCAGATAATCCAATCTCTTGTAACATGACTCACTTTCCCTTACAACACTAGTTGCATTAAGGCATTGAGTGTTTGTTATTTCAACATTCACCCTAAATGTCATGTTTCTTCCTAGTGTGACTGCATAATCAACTTCTGGTCACATTCCATACAACTTCAAGAGATTGTCATTCATGGTTACTGAAAGTCCTTTTTCAAGCAGCTGACCTACATTCGTCATGTTTCTATTCATGCCAAGAACATATCATATATCCTTGATCAGTATAATTTTACCATTCTTCAATTTTACTTTGACATTTCCAATTCCTTTAGCATTCAGATACTCATCATGAACACATTTGATCTTGGTCTTTCTACCATAGTCAAAATCCACCAGCCATTGCTTGTTTTCAATTAGGTGATTCGAGGAGTTGGTGTCCATATACCACTAGTCCACCTTTTTTTCACCTTTATTCTTATATGTATTCAATAGCACATGTTCATCCTTAAAATCTCATATGGCTATGTTGGCTTCTTCACTTTTGCTTTCCTTGTTTGACCAGCAATCAACAGCAAAATAACCAAACCTATTATAGTTGTAGCATTGAACCTTTCTCTTATCAAACTTATCCTTTCCCTTTTAAACATTCTTATGTTTCTTCTCATCTTAATTGGAGAGTTTTGACTTCTGAGCACTACCACCATTTTTTTTTCTTGCTCTCTAGCCATGCTTGCCTCTTGTTCTTATTCACAAATGAAGCTTCCAAATCCTATTTCATTTCCCTTATAGAGTTTCTTTCAGTCAGACACAATTCATGTGTCTCTAAACTACTTTGCAACTCTCCAATTCTCATGGTGTTGGTGTCTTTCGAGTGTTTTATGCCTACAACTATGTAATCAAACTGAGTAGTAAGTGACCTTATTACCTTTTTCAGTGATTACTTGTCTAGTGAGCG